TTCCGTTCTCCGATCTCCGATGTGCCGTGCGTGAATCGTTATGCGAAAGGAATGTTGTATATCTTATTTTTCCTTTATCTTTTAGTTCATTGCCAATTCTGTAACTATTGCACTGATTTTTACTCTGTACTCGGCACTCCGGCACTCTGAGGTAGATGTCTCTCCGTGATGTGAAACATGCCTTTGCACAATGTTTCTGACCGGAGGTTTCGTGGCGCTTACGAAGAACCAGCCGCACAAATCCTCGACAGCCACCCTGCTTTCAGCGATGTCTGGCGTTGCTTGTTGTTTACTCTGCACGAAGGAAGCGATGAGCTAGCGTTTCCCTCTGAAACGTAGACACGATGCTATGAGACGTTAGCTGACCGCCGAAAACCTCTCGAAAAACTTATCTCACTTTTACTTTTCGTTCTAGACAACTTTTTACGGTTTTATTTTTTGCGTCTGGCCCAGCAATATTGTTCAGTTTGTCAGTGTCTTTATGGCGGTAAGTAAACCGTGCTCGACAGATAAGTGTGGGCTTGGCGCCTCGTCCTCGTCGTTTCCTAAACAACAACGATTTCTGGCATTCGTCTTGCAGTCTGTCTCCATTGCGAGACCGTCATCAACGAAAGTTTCGAAGAAAAACGTCTAGTGGGGGTAGCTGGTTTTAACCTAGGTGATTTCTGGCAGTGTTCCAGAATAAGCGATGACTAACTGAGCGAGTTGTAGCGTTCAGCCAAGCCTCAACCTCGCCCCCCCCCTCCCCGCAGATCAGATGCAGATCAAACTGGACGGCTGTGCTTGTTTAAGTCGAAGAAAGAACGGCCGTTAGGAAAGTTGCAACGCCATTGCACGTTTATTTCGATTGAAACATGGAGTCCCCTATTTTCAGTAGGTGCCAGCTTTGTCCTCCATATCACGCGTGTGATCTGCCAATCTCTCCACTGAGTGAGCAGCACGTACGCGTACACTTCATTCGGTGTTTGTATTACAGATATGAGTCTGCAATGGATGTCCTTTATACCTCGACTGTGCATGAAAACTCTAAGGAAGCCGTTTGTGAAATCAGTCACCGAGTATTTGGCAAAGCCTTCGCTAAGAAAGATTACTGTAGAGACCTGAGACCTTTGACGTAAAGCTCCCGTTCTTTCAAATGAGTACAGCAAGCTCGGGGGGGGGTCATTTCCTTTTTGATCTACCTCTTCCGAGCTATTG